GGTCCATTTACGACAACGGAAAGTATATACAACAATGTCACTAGCTATCATCGAATAATTATTGCCGCTTTCTCCGTAGGTACGTGGTGGTCATAAAGAAGATAGCTAGGCAGTGGCTGTTCTACCTGGATATTTTTAACACCAACAGGCCCTCTTAAAAATGTTCCTCTCCCTTTGAACAAAGACCATTGAACGAAATAAATGTCTGAGTAGCTATTAGATACTAAATAACTGCCTCAGTAAGCCTTAGCTGTACTTTTATATTTTTGTGTGCCAAAGTAGTCTAATTATTATTATGTGAGAAGCATTACCTGCTATAATCAACACCAACATGCCCTCGTTAAAAATGTTCCTCTCTCTCTTTGAACGAAGCCCTTTGAACACAATAATGTCTCAGTAGCTATTAGAAACGGAGTGAAGCTTTAGCTATACTTTTACAAATATTCGGCAAACGTGCCAAAGTAGTTTCATGGTAATGTGAGAAAAATGCTTTGGTACACCTCCGCCACCACCACACTCTCGCGACAGCTGCAATGCGCATGCGCGAATAACTGCTGATCGAGCGTCGAAACGAGTGGGTGTCTTCACATAATGGATAAGCTGAGCGATTTTTGTAACTTATAACAATCTCCCTCCAGCTTCAGTTTTAGACGAAATCAAGGCCGCCAACGAGCGGTTCATGTCCCGCTATATACGCGAGCGGAGACATGAAGGCGCTCTCCGAGCTCTACACGGAAGACTGCAAGCTAATGCCTCCGGCAACGGACGTCGTGGTAGGCAGGGCTGGTTAGTGAGATAACGTCCACAGACCCGTTGGATTCTGTATCGCTAGAGCTGTTAAAAAAAAGAAGCAAAAACGCCCTAGATGGCACGTAGCTCTACTCTGCTACCGTGCAACGCCCCCATGCATTTTTACAGGGGTGGAAGGTGTGTTCAACGGCGTGCATGGAGGAGGAGCTAAGACGGTGAAGTTGGAGATCGACGAAGTGGGTCCGTTAGGCTCGCCTGACACTGTCTTTGAGCGCAGCCACTACACGTTCTACAAAGAAGACGGTTCTGTTTTTGACCACGGAAAGTGAGACTAATTATTGTATATAGCATCTTGTTCAAACATGCATCCTGCTTGTCCAAAGGTATGTGGTAATCTGGAAGAAGATTGGTGGGACTTGGTTTCTTTATACTGACATCTTCAACTCTAACAAGTCTTGAAAGAAACATCAAGAAAGGAGAACAAAATTATATGACATTTTAAATACCTTGGCAGCTGAATTAACTAATCCGGACACTTCGGAGTGACCTAAAAATCCGCTGCTGATCATGCGCATTAACTTCGGTACGGGCCGATTCCCACGTCATGGAACGGGGATTGAAGCTGAAGGAGGTCATTTCTTTTTGCGCATGCGCCCAAAAAGAGGGCAGAGCTGAGGGCTGGGCCTTTGCGGGTTAACTTAGAATAATTTCTATATAATTATACTAGGAATACGCACGCGCATAATTTTCCTCGCTAGTCGCGCCAATGATGTGCGCGCTCTACTGACTGCGCGCGAAGCCAGACTAATCTGCGCGCACGGCGGAAGCTAGACTTCCTACGAATGACAGAAGTTACACTTCCTTTTGGTGACTAATTGACATTCCTAAGCGTGACTAATTGACGACGTATATACATACGCCAATTATATACTGTGTTAAAAATTTCAAGCATAATTTGGTAAAAATAGGAGCATAAATTGCACATAATGGAAGAATCCAGGAGTAGAATAAAATCCAAATATTTGAGCATAATTTCCTCAGCCCTAACCGTAACCCTCGCTGCGCATGCGCGCCGAGGGTTAATAATTATGGTAGAGTGGTTTTGAAAGGTAACAAGTGTCTAGATATTGCTTGATTGTAATTTTGTGGCTAACGGGTGAGCAGAGTGAATCTATGTACATCTTTAGTATTTCTGGACGGTATATACTGTCACACATACCATAATGTGTTTTACGTGCTTCTAAATACTCGTTAAACCGTGTTTGAACTCGTGTTCCAGTGCCAAGAAATATAGTGTTTCATTTGTTTTACGTAGTTGCCAAGCGAAGCTAGCCTACCTAGTGGTCTGAATGCGGGATTTTTCACTGTATGTTGTGACCGGCACCGCACTGCACAAACCGTAATATTATACGTGATTATAAATACACCCGAAACACCTGCGAAATATTGAACTGCTATATAGCTTGTTTGCCAAAAATGTGTTGTGATAGTGGCTGCAATCAGTGCATGCAATCAGTGCATGCAATCAGTAGTGACCTTGTGACCTTGATTATAGTAGGGTGGCTGCATTACAAAGGTTTTACTATCACTCTGAGATCTAAGATATTTGTGGTGCAGTTGAGGGGTGCCCAGTAATTAACAACAGCCCTTACAGAAACAAACCAACTTCCTCAAAACAACCTCCTTGTTATGATGATTGTATATCATGTGATGGTCAGGTAATATAATTTTAACTGCCCCTACACCTCTATGATATGCTGAAACCCAGATGGTGGTACCACACTTGACCACCCTTCATTACACTGGCTCACTTTCGCATCATCGTTATTCTTTTATCGTCATACGGATTTGGGCATATTTAGACCGACACTGCGTATGATATAAGGTCTAAAGGTAGGCTAGTGAAGCAAGCCCACCCACTCTTCCAAATTGCAAGATATTTCACCGGGACAGTGTGGTTTGCAGCTGACAACAGACAGTTTCAACAATTGCAGCTCTATGGATCTGCCTGCTTTTTCACTCGCCAAAAATGTGTTGCATTCCATCTAGTAAGTAGACACTTCCAGGTGAGCAGGGCTCTATGTAAACCTTCCACATCTGTAATCATCCACACTCTTAGATATACTTCCTGCCAGCCCCATGAACCCAGGATGAAGTCAGTCAACTCTACACGCAGGTGATCATGACAAACTGCACCGGTCTCATTTTTCAGAGAGTGGGCTGTAGTTAAACCCTCAGCACATGGTGCAATGGATGTGTCCTCTAGCACATCGAGGCCAGAATGAAGTCAGTCAACTCACACATACTCTAGCAGGAGATTGCGACAGACACGAAGGTGTCATTTTCCAGAGAGTGGGCTCTAGTTAAATCCTCGGCACATGGTGCAGTGGGTGTGTCCTCTAGCACTTCCAGGCCAGAATGAAGTCAGTCAACTCACACATACTCTAGCAGGAGATTGCGACAGACACGAAGGTGTCATTTTCCACAGAGTGGGCTCTAGTTAAACCCTTAGCAGATGGTACAGTGGATTTGTCTACCTGCCAAGCTCTTTGAGGCCAGAATGAAGTCAGACAAGGAGGGCTGTAGCCCCTGTAAACCTTGCCACATGGTGCAGTGGATGTTTTCCAGTACACTATACTGCCACTATATAGTACGTAGCTGTATGATGCCAGAATGAAGTCAGTCAATACCCTATACTGCCACTGGGGTAGGGAGGAATCTTTGAATACCCAGCCTCCCCCCCCTGCCGCCAAAACAATGTCGTGCGTGTGGATTATTACTGTGACAAGAAGTTGGTAGAATCGACAAATTCCCCCCAAAGACAGCAGTGACCACCGACAACCAGCTCCTGCTCCTCTTTACACCAAGACAGTCACATAACACACGCACAGAGTAAAGACTTAGAGCTATGGAGAGCCATTCATACATTATACCCCACATGTTATCGCTGATGGCAAGCTTGGTTGATTTTAAGCACAACCAAGTCGGTTTTTTCGCTGTAATTGACAGTTTAGCTGCCGCACCTGTATCTGCAGATCTTGTGATTTTCGTGCCGACAACAGCAACAACAACAAACATACGTACAAACCGATCACATAACCCCTTGAGCATGCACGCAGGGGTTAACAGCAGCTGCATTAGACTAGAATGATAGCAGGACTTGCTTTTTCCGGCAAGAGGACCATGGACAGGTGTGAAGTATGTAAGAATTTGAGCTATTTCGTGGACCATTATCCATAGCATCCACACAAAGCAAGCAGTTTACACCGAACAATAGGTTTAGTCTTGCTTCACTAGGTCTACAGAGTATTACTGTTCATTCACACAAAAGAAATGAAAAGCACTGAAGTGCAAACCCTCGGCGCACTGTGACGCGCACGCGTAAGTAAACGCATGGGCTGGGTTTAGTTTTAGCTGTTACTCGTGGTCTCTTGCCAGCTCGCGCAGAGTCTGATGCGGGCTAACTACACTACTAGATAGCATGCGAGAGGCGATACACGCCCTGCGTTGCATCTCCTGGTGCCTCCGAAGTACGCAGAGCACGCGGATCGATCCGACTGTGGTAAGCCATCCCGTCCGTTGTGTATTTGCATATTGGCTTTTTCGCGCTCTAGCTTTGCAACGGAGCAGTTTTAGAGAAAACCGTTCGAAATTTCTGACCTTCATTGCCCGTTCAGTAGGTGGTATCCTTTGTGAGACGAAAGAACACTCGAGAAGTGAGATGAAGAGTAACAGACAGACTGACAGACAGACCCAAGTACTGTAACCCTCGCTGCGCATGCGCGCCGAGGGTTAATGATTGTTTTACCGTCCACTGACAACAACGCATGCGCACATAATTCGCGACGCGCCTATATATAACTAGTAGGCGAATGCATGGCATTTTTGGCGAGCGGAAGCGCGCTTACAACTGGGGTCTAATCGTATGAGTCACTCTTGTGTGTGCACAAAACAGTGAGATACATTGCACAGGACCAAGTAGGCCGAAACGACCCGAGCGCAGTAGACAATTCGAGTCGAGTCAAAAACAGTCAGACGACAGCGCGAATCAGGCATAATCCGGCAATCTGATTGGTCTTGCAGGAATAGGGAACAAGTGGCAATGTAGAAAAATCTCTCGCTGGACTGTGCAGCAATACTCGATAGCTTCGGAGGTGTTGCGTTTCCCAGCATTATGAAAATGTTGAAATCCCTTTCGGATAAAAAGAAGCGCGTAATGCTGGAGCATGCGCAGTTGGACGACGTACGGGCATATATATATAGAAAAATCGCGCCGTTCGGACCACTAGGTTAGCTCGCTTCCGCTCGCCAATTAAGGACCGCGGACCGGCTTTTCCATTGCTTTCGACTTTGCTGGAATATAGCTGTACCAGTGAAAATGGGTTGGTAAAATCGTAATGCAGAATATGCAACTATTGTGAATTTACTTCTTTCTCCCATAGCTTCGTTTGCTGGCGTAATTCAAGCGCTGAACGACAGGTTCATGGAGTTTTATAAGAACAACGACATGAAGGGTCTCTCTGAGCTCTATACGGAGGACTGCAAACTCATGCCTCCAGGAACAGACGTACTGACCGGCAGAAGCGGTTAGCGTAAAATATTGCGACCTCGAGCGCAATGGGTGGTATAATACGTACGCGTTCCACAGATGCGGCCGACGTATACGCGAAACTGCGAAAAGCTGGAGTGATGACGATTTTGTTCGAGTCGGAGGAGCTGGGACCGCTGGGTTCTGAAGATGCTCTTTATGAGCGCTGCCGTTACACCTTTTTCCGGGAAGACGGGTCCATTTACGACAACGGAAAGTATAATACACTAGCTATCATGGAATAATTATTTAGCGCTTTCTCCGTAGGTACGTGGTGGTCATAAAGAAGATAGCTGGGCAGTGGCTGTTCTACCTTGATATCTTTAACACCAACAGGCCCTCTTAAAAATGTTCCTCTCCCTTTGAACGCAATAAATGTTTGAGTAGCTATTAGATACTAAATACCTGAGTAAGCCTTAGCTGTACTTTTATTTTTTTTGTGCCAAAGTAGTCTAATTACTAGGAATGCGCACGTGCATATTTTGCCTCGCGCCTGCCAGCCAATGCGTAAACAGTCGAGTCCGACTGAAGCCGCTCGTGTGCACTGACTGCGCGCGAAGCCAGACTTCCTACGAATCTGCGCGCACGGCGGAAGCTAGACTTCCTACGAATGTTGTTGAGCGTTTTCTTGGTTGTCGACAGTCTTACTTTTGAGACGCCGAATCAGATTGCAGTATTTGCCACGACCGTGAAATAATCACATGATGTTATGTAATAGATCGTAACGCAGCTCCGTAGATTCCGCTTGTCCACGAACGAAAACGGGCTTTTCTGCGCATGCACTCGACAATGATAAGTCGAGTCAGCACAACCATGCACCAGTCACCAGACAGACACCCAGAGGAGGTCGGACATGCGCAGGGATTGCGTCATTGTAAATGACATTTATGCTGACACAGCAATTTCTTTCCTGTAAAGAATGTATGGGGAGATAAAAGAGCGTGCTGTAGCAAAGCCAAGCGGGATTCGGAGAGGATTAGCAACGGACTCGATGTAATATGTAAGAAAGATACTGAAAATCCTATTATCCCCAGCGATCCCCTACCGCTCGGCAAGATATAGTGAAGAATACTAATAACTCTGTCACACTCACAGCGTGAGCCCTAGAGCTAAGCTAAATGCAGAGTACCTTACTTTGATCCTTTTTACAACTCTCCGTGTGGTTTCAAGCGAATGCTCCGTCTGTTTTGTCAAAAAACTAAGCATAGGTCGAGCAAGTCGTCGAAGGTCGTGCATTCCTCAACACGCTAATTGAAATTCTTGTACTATTCACGTGACCGTGTCCGACCTACCTCCTCTGCTGGAGCTGGATCGGCCCCCCAGCCCCTTTTCCTTTCTTGAGGGCGGGGTCTGGGCACGGCTAATAGTTTGTTGCAATGCGCATGCGCGGATAACTGTTGATCGAGCGCGTCGAAACGACAAGTACGTGTGTCGTCACATAATGGTAAGCTGAGCGATTTTTGTAACTTATAACAGGCCATTCAATCTCCCTCCAGCTTCAGTTTTAGACGAAATCAAGGCCGCCAACGAGCGGTTCATGTCCCGCTACGCGAGCGGAGACATGAAGGCGCTCTCCGAGCTCTACACGGAAGACTGCAAGCTAATGCCTCCGGCAACGGACGTCGTGGTAGGCAGGGCTGGTTAGTGAGATAACGTCCACAGACCCGTTGGATTCTGTATAGCTAGAGCTGTTAAAAAAAGAAGCAAAAACGCCCTAGATGGCACGTAGCTCTACTCTGCTACCGTGCAACGCCCCCATGCATTTTTACAGGGGTGGAAGGTGTGTTCAACGGCGTGCATGGAGGAGGAGCTAAGACGGTGAAGTTGGAGATCGACGAAGTGGGTCCGTTAGGCTCGCCTGACACTGTCTTTGAGCGCAGCCACTACACGTTCTACAAAGAAGACGGTTTTGTTTTTGACCACGGAAAGTGAGACTAATTATTGTATATAGCATCTTGTTCAAACATGTATCCTGCTTGTCCAAAGGTATGTGGTAATCTGGAAGAAGATTGATGGGACTTGGTTTCTTTATACTGACATCTTCAACTCTAACAAGTCTTGAAAGAAACATCAAGAAAGGAGAACAAAATTATATGAAAGTTGTTGCTCTAAGTGTCATATATGTATAGTGTGAAAATTATTTAAAATACCTGCAACCCCTTGGCAGCTGAATTAACTAATCCGGACACTTCGGAGTGACCGCTGCTGATCATGCGCATTAACTTCGGTACGGGCCGATTCCCATGTCATGGAACGGGGATTGAAGCTGAAGGAGGTCATTTCTTTTTGCGCATGCGCCCAAAAAGAGGGCAGAGCTGAGGGCTGGGCCGGCCTTTGCGGGTTAACTTAGAAAAACAAGTGTTCGGTTGCGTGTAGTGGTCTTGTGAAAGACAATCATCCACTGTTAGGCCCCAGCCCTTGCTTTCTCAGTCACTGCGTGGTTTCCTGTTTCAACCCATAACATGTAGAAGCCAGTACAAGGCAACGTGACGCTGCAGAGAGACATCTGTGCCTTTACTTTTCCTTTGTAGCTATACATACGTCTCTGTCCTGCAACAGTTGAAGCGGGTAGCCACCTTGGCTGCCTGACTGAGCTGGAGACAGACATCTGTGTGCCTTGCCTGCCAGTTTACCTAGCCAGCTAATTGAGTTACTCCTTCCTTGCGGGCAGGGCGGGCACACTTTCTTAGCCCGCCTCGAGTTTGGATAACAGCAGGGTGAAGGGTGCCCCTTTCAGCTTCCCCCTGTAGCCTGGTGTTTATAGAGACAATTTCTCAATGTGTTCCAGCTCCTAGATAATTCCCACAAGTCACTTATCTGACTCACATCTGTTTCTCCCCTTCTACATGAACCATCCAAAAATACATTCATAACTTTTTTATTTAACATCTAATTGTAAAAACGCTAACACCATTAGAATGCCCGCAACATTCCTGTTCTGATGGTGTCCTTTACGAACCATGAAACCTTATCAGTCAAAAGTTAGCTGTATGTCCCATAAGAAAAGTATGCCATAGGTATGGGACCGCGAATGGGCACTGCAAATACCGTAATGTTCTAAATACGAGCAAAACACGCGCAATATTGAATGCTCGAGCTCGCTTTCAAAAATACTCGTTCTAGTTTGTTGGAGGTAAAAAAATTCGGCGAGCCAGCAGCAAAAAACGCCCGCATTATTGCACATGCGCATGAGGGTAACAGTTGTGCGCGTGCGCCGTAAGTGCCTATTTATGCGCGTCGTGCTGCCGTTTTTGCTCACTTTTCTGGGTGGCTGCTGGGATTTTTGCAGTGGGTAAGTTGTTTTTCTTGCTGTTGTGTACTTTGCAGTCTCTCTTCTAGCCAGAAGGTGCACACGTAATTTTTCGCTTTCTCACCTGCAGCGGTGTATATACCCCTGACGACGTAGACGAAGACGTATATACCCCTGACGACGACGACGACAGCCACCCTGAATACGAGGTGAGTGGAGCGGGCGGGGTCACTTTTGCATGCAGCAGCGCGGAGGGCCTTGTAGTTCGAAGCCATCTGCGAAAACCTTCGACGATTGCTGGCCGCGCGGTAGTGCAAGTCGTAGGTTTTCGCAGCGACGAGTTGCCTGCGTTAGCTCGACGCGTTTTGCTTTTCGCTTAGTTTCCAATCACAGGGGCGCAACTATAAGACTGTTTTTGGCATTGCCGCCAGCGTAGGCGAGCGAAGCGGGCCTCCTTTGTCTGAAAGCGGGACGAAAAAACGTGCGAATTATCGCTTCGCTCGCCAAATGCATATTATGCACGTGTTTAACTCCCGTGCTCTCTCTGCAGGCCGCAGTCACGTATCTACCAACTGCAAAGACGACTGACTACAAGACGACTCCAAGACAAGACGATACATCGAAGAGACAGCACATTGTGAGCACTTCAAGTTAACGTCTATAATAAATTATTATACAATAGTGTGTGCAGCTAGCTACATAAGCTTGTGGAAGTTGAGTGTGACCAAACATGCGCAGGCCTAGAAATATTTTTTACTGATACTGGATTTATCAGGCTATGTTTTTGGAGCGTGTAGCGTATTAGCTAGTGGCCTTCATGGCTTTAGCTCTGTGCCTGCGATGGGTGCCTGCGTAGCTCTGTGCCTGAGTAGCTCTGTGCCTGCGATGGGTGCCTGCGATGGTGTTGGCAATGTACCTGCGATGGCTGTATGTGCAGCGATGGTGTTGTGCTTGAGGAGAGCCTTTACTGTGATTTCTAAAACTGATTGTCATCCTCAACTTTCGACATAATACGTACCTACTACTTACCTACCTACTACTACCTGCCTACCTACCTATTACTACCTACTACCTCCTACCTACCTACCTACCTACCTACCAGTTATGTTCTATTGTATTGTACTGTACCATAATTATTATAATGGTAAATAATTGGGGAAATTGGTATGTACAAATTGCAAAGCAAGGTAAGTAAATTTTTGCGGCCTTGAATTTTTAAGGAGCGCGCCACGACAGGGACTATCTTTACTGAAGGTAGGTAACTTGTCCAGTCTACATTCTTGGGACTGCTGCACAGGACTTTGTGTACACGCAATACCAGGATGGAGGACAACTAGCTAGTTGTGTAATATTATACCTCTACTATTATTCAGCAGTAATCGTGGTATACTGTAATTGTTGAATTGTGCTACTTGAAGTTGTACATGTAATCGTAGTAGATAGCTGGCCTCTCTGAGGATTACATAGTTGTGTTTCTAGAAGTTGCAAGAGCAGCCCCTGTGTCTACAATAGATAGGAAGCTGTAGGGGAGAGGAGCCCATATTGAACAACTTTGGAGTGGTTAATTACGGACCAACTGAAGTGCGTGTTCAGTGCTGGCAATTGGCTTATAAGAGCAACAGGATAGAGATCACGCTTTTTTCTGCTGCTGCCGTTAATGGATGGGAGGATGGGTGCGGTTATAAGGGAGCGAGCCCTCATTGGCAATGATGAATGATTAGGGCCTTCAGAACAAGTGCCTTGCAATGCTTGTATTTAGTTGCCTGAAGAACTGCCACTATGTAATGGATGGGAGGATGGTGCGGTTAGAAGGAGCGACGGGGCACTTCTTACGTGCTAGAGTTGGCTAGAAGGATGAATGGATTTTGAGATATGGCCTCTGTTTGTCAAATGAACAAGTGCCTTGCAATGCTTGTATTTAGTTGCCTGAAGAAGGAAGAACTGTCACTATGCTAATGGATGGGAGGATGGGTGCGGTCATAAGGGAGCGAGCCCTCGTTGATGGTTAGGGGCTTCAGAACAAGTGCCTTGCAATTGCCTGAAGAAGGAAAAACTGCCACTATGCTAATGGATGGGAGGATGGGTGCGGTCACAAGGGAGTGAGCCCTCATTTAATGGTTAGGGGCTTCAGAACAAGTGCCTTGCAATGCTTGTATATATTTAGTTGCCTGAAGAAGGAAGAACTGCCACTATGGATGGGAGGATGGGTGCGGTCACAAGGGAGTGAGCCCTCATTTAATGGTTAGGGGGCTTGAGAACAAGTGCCTTGCAATGCTTGTATATATTTAGTTGCCTGAAGAAGGAAGAACTGCCACTATGGATGGGAGGATGGGTGCGGTCACAAGGGAGTGAGCCCTCATTTAATGGTTAGGGGGCTTGAGAACAAGTGCCTTGCAATGCTTGTATTTAGTTGCCTGAAGAACTGCCACTATGTTTATGGATGGGAGGGATGGGTGCGGTCACAAGGGAGTGAGCCCTCATTGGCAATGATTAATGGTTAGCTACACACATTTCATCAAGAATGTCTCCCTCGAGTGGGGAGGATCCTCAGCATATAGGTGCGCGTCGTCGTCATCGTCGTTGAAAGAACTTACCCACTTGCCGGGAGGTATGTCTCCCTCGAGCATGTAGCTGCGGATCACTGTCGTCGTCATCGGCTGCAGGTGAGAAAGCGAAAAATTACGTGTGCGTAGAAGAGAGACTGCAAAGTAGCACAGAACAGGAGGAAAAGAACTTACCCACTGCCGAGCAGCCACCTCGGAAAGTGAGCTAAAACGCCGCACGGCGTATAAATAGGCACTTACAACGCACGCGCACAACTGTTACCCTCGTGCGCATGTGCAATAATTGGGGAAGGGCTTGGCGCCTGCTGGCTCGCCGAATTTTTTACCTCCAACAAACTAGAACGAGTATTTTTGCGAGCGAGCTCGAAGATTCAATATTTTGCGCGTGTTTGGCTCTTATTTAGAATCACGTAGAACATTACGGTATTTGCAGTGCCATCCGCGGCCCCATACTTATGGCATATATACTTTTCTTATGGGCAGCTGACCAACTCTGTGCCATGACAAGGTTCAATGGTGCTTCGTTTGTGCCTGTCCTACTAGTTCTTCATGTGTCGGGTGCCATGGGTTCTTTGTCTGTTGCACGGACCATTGGACCCACTCCATAATTTTGATTATTCTCCCCGGAGTGTCCAGAACATCGTCGTAATCCTCACACTGTGAGGATGGGTGCGCTTTTCGCTTTTTGGATGTCTATATAGCCTTGCCTGTCTCGGACTGCATAGCAAGAGTGCACACATCAGTGAGCATGGTGCTCCTGTTGACTCGTGAAAATTTCTTTACTTTTGTGTCTGCATTTGATCGCTCCATCACTTCCTTAAGCATTCTGGAGTAATCGAAAACAGATTCTAATGGGTTATGGACATAAAAACAGATTTGTCTGTTGATACCTTTTTTTGCGGTTTTATCGATGTTCCTGGTTCAATGTCTTGTTGTGTAGTTGTGTGAGTGAAAGATGTTCTGTAGAGGAAAGGTGTGAGTGAGTGAGTCTGTGCTTCCAGAGTGCTGCTGGGTTAACTTACGTTCCCCTTTCTTCTCTCACTCTTTGTTTGGTCTAATGGGTCATGTATATACATAAAAACAGATTCTAATGGGTTATGGACATAAATGGTGTGTGTTGCCACCTTCATGATTGTTCTTGCCAACTTTTCTCTCGCCCTATATACTGTGTCGGTAGATGGGGTGGAGGTAGGGGGGGTTCTGCAGAGAAAGATACCTGGACGTATTTTGCTAGGAGTTTCTCCACACTCGGGTTATGTGTGAACCTGAGTGAGTTGTTGCTAGGATCGATCTCCACGCTGAGGAATTGAAGAGAGCCCACCACTTGAGTCCTTAAAGCAAAAAAATTAAAGCAATATGTACTTGGTTAGTCCATAAAGACCCTGACAATATCAGAACAGTAGATTTGAAGTAGTACTAAGATAATTGTAGGCCTATTATTTAGCTGAAAGACGAGCCTTGAATTCAATCTACTCGATGCACTGCCAACAAACCTTGATTCAACAAAAGCAACAGTGCAAATTTTACCGCCTCCTTTTAAAGGCATCTGTTGTGCGTGCAGTGAAGCCGGTAGCCGGCATTATTGCTTCTGGTCTATGGTCTATATAGTGGGTTAGGGACTAACTGTTGCTCCATTATATCTACACTATCTTAGTTCAGCTTCCGGGTGAGCACAGAAACAATTGCTTACTGTTTCTGCACACTCCGTACTTCATTCTGCTTCATTCCAACATTCTGTTAGTTATCTGGTCTTTTGGGGGGAAGTGCCTATTCCTTACCTAATTGGAATTTGGATGCCTCTTCCATTAAAACCTTTACAAGAAATTGAAATCATTGTTTCTAAGCCTAGGATTGTTAAATATTTTTTTAAATCAGAATGAATTTTTTGGTGATTTTTCAAATAACTATCTGAAATCGCAATCACTTTTTCTCCAGTTTTTTTTTACAATACATTTATTAATAATCGAGTCGATCAGTAAGAAAGCATGTGTGTATGTAATTATGCAAGATAAAACATTTCATCTTACCTCTGGAGAGTTCTTTGTATCTTCTAGAATAACCTTTAATAATCTATTTATAGCTTCAACTGCGTATGCTGCAACAATAAGAGAATATGTATACAACTTGAGGAATAGAGAGCCCACCACTTGAGTCCTCTTCTCTCTCCCCCTGTTCTTGTTCTTCTATTTTTTAGTTAGATCTTTACCACACCGTGTCACATTCCTTTAACATCTGTACACACATGCAATACAAGATTCACTGTGTAAGACTCACTACATTATTTTTCCAATTCTCCCCTGCATCTTCTGAATTCCAGAGTCCTCCTTCCAGAAGAACCTCAGAACCCTTTTCTTCCTCTCTCGCAGCAGGTGTGCAAGTTTGTTGTACTCTTCGTCCCATGTGTTGAATACCCCATAACACTGGAGCATATCCAGGGGAGATTCCCTCCAGGGGAACTTGAGCATCCTCTCTCGCAGCTCCTCTTGCGAATTTGTCGTACTGTTCATCCCATGTAGTGTTGCCTCGTATCTTCTTTGTATGGCCGTGTATGGTGTAGCTCCTGTTGACTCTTGGCCAGCGTGTTTGTGCTCCTGTTGACTCTTGGCCAGCGTGTTTGGCTGCTCTCACTGACACCCACTTTCTGTATGTGAAAATAGTTTATAATTCATAAAAATGTATTTACTTTATATCTGTAGTCGAATCCTTAGCACTCGCCACCAATCGGGTCCACTTCCAGGGTGTCAATCATATATCTTTAATTTCCGATTTTTTGGGCATTTTCTTTTAATTCATTGCATAATCTTGTCACTTGACAGACATGGTATATATGGAGAGAACGATAGGGGACAAGAGAGGGGAGGAAAGGAAAAACCGGTATTGGGATGTGAATTAATCATTAATTTTTAACAAACTTTGTGTTAAATATCTACAGATGTTTAATTTCTTAGTTCAGCTTCCGGGTGAGCACAGTAACAATTAATTGCTTACTGTTTTTGCGCACAACGTATAAACTTATGTTTTATCTGCATCTCCTCCTGGGCAGCAGTTGTAACCAACCGTGCCTGGTTTGTAAGCTCCCTCTCACACCTTG